CTGATGCTGTAGCCGTAGACAGACTCGGTGCTGAGCCCCAGCGTGGAAGCAGGATCCATCTTGGTGATGTAATCCTACGTGGACAAGGACAGGGCTGTCAGTGCCCTCGAGGGCTGGCAGGGAGCAAGCAGTGCTCAGCAGCTCCAGGAGACCCTGGTAAGGACCTGGGCCAGGGAGCATCAGGCACGGTGGAGCAATGTAAAAGGATGGCTCTCAAAAGAGGGGTCCTCATGCTCCTACCTTGAAGACCTGGCAGACAGCCTCATCCAGCATCTTCCAGTCTGCCTTCCCGCTCACCTTGGTCCAGCCCAGGAAAAACTCCTGCTGCTTGAGGTCCTAAGAGCCAAGGCAGAGGTGTGCAGAGTTGGAGCACTGCATCCAGCCCCAGAGAGGCATTCTCTGCCCCTTCTCCAGGGCTGTGGCACTGGGACAGGTCAGGCTCCCCATACAGCCCACGCTTACCCCCTTGATGATGTGCTGGGGCGGCATGCGCACCACAATCCGCAGTGTCAGCTCATCCTTCTGGGCACCAGCACTGACAGCATCCATGGGGGACACGTCTAGGGATGGAGCAGTGAGGCTGTGCCGGCAGGGAGAGCCAAGCCACCAGGCCTGACCGTGCCCAGCCTGAGCCAAATCCTGCTGTGGCTGATCGTGGCACTGGCAGCACAACAGATCCCCGTGCACAGCTGCCTCCAGGTGAGCAGCAGCATGCTCCCACCACACACACGCCTCTGTCCCAGCCCTTCCCCATTTGCCAGCAGCTCCGTCACCCCTACCTGTGTCCCCCAGGCTGGGGCTGAAGGCACGGCCGAGGGTGAGACCCAGGGAGCGCCGCGGTGAAGAGGAGGCCGACGTGCTCGTGACATGGCCAGGAACGGAGCCTGGCACTGCCGAGGGCCCTGGAGCCACTTTGAGCCGGTCGTTCTCGGCCTTCAGGAGATCCACCTCCAGCTGGGGGAGAACCAGTTACGGCACAAGGTGAGGAGCTGCATGCCGGCAGCATCCCGGGGCTGCAGCATGGCTGTGGGGGCGCAGGGACTGCGGCCACCCAGGTGCTCAGAGCCAGCCGGGCTTCTGGCAGTGGTCCTCACCTGCATGTTGTGCATGGTCTCCCGCAGCTGCTCCAGCTGATGGGCAGAGTTGAGGGCCTCCAGGCGGATGTCCGTCAGCTTCATCTCCTTCTCCCACAGCTCTGACCGCAGCTCCGACACCTCCTTCTTCTCTGGCTCGCCCTCGCTGTGGGCCTGGAAGAGCCTAGGCCAAGGGAGAGAAAGTCTTGCACGCATCCCGGGCAGGAGCCTGCAGCCCCCACGAGCGGCCCTCCCCATCCTGTGCCGCCTGCCCTGGCCCCACATACTCAGCCGTGTCGATGCCCACAGAGGAGGACGTAGAGGATTTGATGGAAGGCGAGGCAGTCTCTGTAGAGCCATGCTGCAGCTTGGGGGAGGAGGGGGCCGACGAGTCTGGCGTGGCAATCTCCTCGATGTCCGAGTAAGACGAGGCTGATTTGGGTCCCTTCTTGATGCTGAAGGCCTTGTTGAAGGAGCTGCGTAGCTACGGGAGACGGAAATGCTTGTTAGGGACAGCCTGACAGTGCAGCCTCGCAAGCAGAGACCTGGCCCAGTCCTGCCCCGGGGCCCCCGTCTGCCCAGGACCCACAGACAGTCCGAGCTGGGCCAAGTAACACCATATCCATCAGCGAGGCAGCACTGTGCCCTACCGCTGCCCCGGGGAAGGCACCAGCCTGACCCCGCTCTGCTGGCACAGCTGACGGATGGGGGTGCACGGCCCTTTGTGCAACACTCCAGCCCCAGCCTGGACGGCACCAAACAGCCCTGCAGAGTGGGACCCACGTCCTGGTCAGGCTTCCCGCAGCCCTGCTCCCCACCAGCACCCACATCAGGGTGTTCAGGCACTGTACTAGCACCCTGGTCCACCGGGAAGGGCTGACTCCATCCTCACATTCACCCCACCGCAGCCATCCCAGCAAGTGGCGTTTAGGGGGACATGCCCCCCCCAGCCACTGCAGGCCCACGGTCCCAAGGGGACATTTTCAGCCCCACACCCCCCTCTGCCCTCTGGGGTCCTCCTGGAAGCGCAGAGGGCCAGTCAGCCCCCCGCGAGATGTCACCGGGGGTCCCGCCCAGGCATGCAGCATGCACACAGCACACACAGAGCAGTGGGCGGGTGAGCGGTGTGCTGAGGCCAGGGAGGGCGGATGGACACTGCACAGGGGCCAAACTGGGCCTGGGTCTCGCTTACGCGCCACCAGCCTGCAGGAGAGCAGCAGGACGGGCACCCTGGGTTCACACAGTGTCCCCTGGAGGGCCAGGGCCTGCTCCGAGGGAAGGTGGGAGGAAGAGAGGATGGAGAACAGGCAAGATCCGGCCCAACTCCCACAGCCACCAGGCAGGCCCGTTTGGTGTGTCCCCAAAAGCAAAAGTGTTGCATTTCAGCGTAAAAACCCAGGTGGGTGTCAGGCTCTGCCGATGGCAGGAGAGCAGCGGAACACTGGGTCCCATGTGCGTCCCGACAGGGAGGGAGCCACATCAGGCCAGCCCTGGCAATGCGGAGACAGGCAGCAACACACCCCGGTGCCAGAGGCACGGCTGCGGGGAGGTCCCCATCCCAAAAGATCTGGCTACAGGGAGTCAAGAGAGTGCCTGCCTTCCCTGGGCAAGAAGGGGACTGTCCCCATCCATGGGACAGGTCCCCATCCGAGCCTTTCCCGCTGCCTCAGGGCCACCCAGGGCAGTTCAGCCCCTCCGCGTGGGTGCATATTTTGGCCTTAGCATCAAAGGAAGCAGCCAAGGTGCGCACAGCCTGGCTGGGGGCCCCGGGATGGCCCGTGCTGGGGGTTAGTGCCAGTGGGATGGATGGGATGGATAGTGTTATGAGCACTGTCCCACAAAATGGAGCGAGGGCCCTGGTCGGGCACGGCATGGGGTGGAGGGGACGGCATAAGACTTACCTCATACACCTGGAAAAAAAGGGTTGAGGTCAGCATAGGGGGAGAGAAACAAAACAAAGCAAGACTTAATCGTGTGTCCAGCTCAGAGCTGCTTGTTGCAGGGAAGGGGCTGCCTGGCCAAGGTGTCTGGCTCCCCGCATGGGCAGAAGGGAGACACGTGGGGAAGCCACGAGGGAGCAGGGGTGCAGGACCAGGGCTGGAAAGCTCCCAGAGGGGCTGGAGAAGTCCCGGCCGGCACGTCAAGACACAAATCCACGGCAGCTACACGCTCCTCGCCAGTGCTGTCCCCAGGGGACACACGGGACCAACACCACAATGCCAAGGTAGACCGAGAGCAACTGGCTCGTGGGGCTGCCCTTGGCCAGATCCTGCCAGCGGCTCCCCAAGCCCCACTCCTCCTCCCAGTGCCCCATCCAACCCACCCAGCTCTTCTTCTTCTTCTTCTTGGCGTCGGCATCCTTGCTGCTGCCAATGCTGGAGTGGCTGGTGATGCTGTTGAGGCTGGAGATACTGTCAGAGGAGTTCTGCCGCTTGATGCGCAGCTCTGGGGCCAGCGAGAGAAGCAGGAGAGACCAGGAAAGGAGATATCAGCAAACTGCGTCTGCCCCAATGCCAGAGTCACCTGCACTCTCCTCCCTGCACCCCTTGCCTTCTCCCACCCAAACACCTTCTTGAGCTCTCAGAGCCACCTTGTAAGATGACATGGGGCTCACACACCACACGGGCGCTGCCATTCAGGACAGTGACCCCAAACCCCAGGGAGATGCCCAGAACACACACTGTTCTGCTCCTGTCCCAAGCCACCTCCCTGCCAGCGCCTTGCACTTACATTGGGGTTTTGGGGATAGAAACAGCACTCATGGGAACAAAGCCAAGATCAGCAGCCAAAACTGGGCTGTCGGCAAAGGGCCCGGTGAAGAGGTGTCCCAGGGAGGACGAGCATCCCATCACCCCCAGGCACCAGCACTGAGACCTCCTGCAGTGACAGCTCTGGCTGTCTGACCCTGGCTTCAGATGCTCAGGGGTCCCAGGTGGGGAAGAGCTGCTGCCCGGGGGACCCTGCCTCCCATTTGAACATCTCACTGGAGTGAGGGGTGCCCTGGGGCCCTGTGCCAGCCCCAGGCAGGAGCAGCCCAGCAGGGCTTGGGTGAGGGGCTCAGGAAGGGCTGCAAACCCCCACGGCAGGGGGCTGCCGAGCCATGCCTTACCTTTCGGGGTGACGTCAGTGCCATTCAGGGCGCCCTGGATCACAGCTTGGGCCTCTGAGTTCTTCTTCTTCAGGAAGTCGATGGTCTCTCGCAGGTCCAGCAGCTCCGTGTCCTGGGGGAGCAGAGCCGGGAACCGTAGACTGCGTTCCAATGGCGCAGGGCCCACCCCAAGAGCACCCTTGGGGCGGGCAGTGCCGCAGCAGGTTCAGAGAGTCCAGCATCCACCAGCCTCATGAGCACCCTCCCGCACCGCCAGTGCCCCCCAGCACCCACTTGGCACCCCGACAGCACCCACCTTCTCCTCAGCGGTCTCAGCCAAGTGCCGCAGGCGGGACGTCATGCTCACCAGGCTCTGCTCAAAAGCCGCCACCAGGTTGGCCTGTGAGAGGTGAAGAAAGAGGTGAGCACCTGGGCAAGCACCCATGGCTGGGCGAGCACCCGCTGCCGGGTGTGGGATGCAAGAGGCTGGAGAGGGGAAATCAAGGCTCTCGTGGGCGCAGGCCAGCACAAGCCCCACGCACTGCAGGGACACAGAGCGGCATGTCCTGCAGCGAGCAGCAGCTCCCACAGGGACTCACATTAGCAGACAGCTGGGACGTCAGGGTGGCCACCTTCTCCTGAGAGGACTCCAGCTCGCGGCGCAGCTTACGGATTTGCTGTGGGGAGAGAGTGAAGGAAGTGAGAAGGGCCAGGCACTCACCCTTGCCGCGGTGGCAGGGGCAGGCAACGAGCAGAGGGTGCGGGCTCACCTCGGACTGCATCTTCTCCTCAGCCTGGCAGCGCGAGAGTAGAGAGAGACAGACAGAGGCAGGCAGTCAGGAGGGCAGCGAGGCACAGACAGGCTCGGCGCCGGGCAGAGGCATGCACAGAGCCCCCCCGTTCCCACCCAGGCCCCCCCAGCCATGCACAAAGCAGTGCAGCACGGAGGTGGCTCTTACGGAGGAGTAGGTGGAGGACGCGCTCGAGGCCAGGGACAGCACCGATCCATGAACTGCAACAGAATAAAACCCGGCACGTCAGGGTGCCCCTGGCCAGCGGCATCCCCAGGGGCTGCAGGTGCAGGGCATAGCAGGGTGCAGGGGACGGAGCTCCCAGTGGAGGGGGGGCTCTGCGGGGGGCCGGGGGAGGCAGAGGGTGGGATGGCAGCTGCTCAGCACTGCCCGTTTCTTGGCGCGTGGCTGGTGATCTCCCTGGGCATGAGGCGTGCAGCAGGGCGGGGGGAGTACCCTCCACCTGCACCCTCCACTCTGGCTGAGCCCGGAGGGCTCTGCCACCCTCCCTGGCTGCTTGGGTCCCCCCCTCCCTGGTGCCACAACATCCTGGGGCCAATCCAGGGATGCTGGGCACCCACAGGGGTCAGGGCACGCTGTGGCCCAGAGCAGATGCCAGCGCAAAGGGGTCCACCAGGCCCCTCGGGGCTGCCGTCCCCGGCTCTGATGCCGAGGACAGGATGCACCAACCCATCTGACAGTGCCGCAGCAGCGCCAAGAGGAAGGGACAAGTGTGCGGGGAGCCCTGCCGCACCCCCCCGGGAGCCCCCTTCGCCTGGGCAGGAGCGCAGCACACTCTCACCGTCGTCCACAGGGTCCCGGAATGAGCCCGAGCGGATCATGCCCTTGGGCTTGTCGGCCAGGGAGAGGGTGCTGCCCATCTGGGACGTGCTGTACAGCTCGAAGGTGGAGTCGTGGGTGGGGATGCTGTTGGAGCGGGTGATCCGCGGGGTTGCGGCGGCAGTGGGGCTCACTGCAAGAAGGCAGGGGAGAGGCAGGGTCAGAGTCACACCGGGGACCTGGGATCGGGATGGGGAAGGCAGAGCTTGGGAGCAATCCACAAGGGCTGGGATGCGGAGAGGAAACAGGGATTGTGGTCCCAAAGCAAGGGGGGCTGGGGGAAAGCTAAAAATGCAGATTTATGCTGGGAAGACCTGGACACCAGCACCAAGGTAACCAGAGGGCTGAGAAACAAATCCATCGCCTCAGGGCAAAGTGGGCACCACCATGCCAGAGCCCGTCACCTCCGGGTACAGGAGGGGAGCACCTCATCACTCGCTGTCCCCCACCAGCAGCCCCAACCCATCTGCCTGGACCCCCCAAACCTTCCAGGGGCACATAGGTCCTGGCAAGGGCAGGGCAGGGCTCACACCCCTTGCCCTGCCAGGCACACCCAGAGGAGCAGGGAGCCATGGGCAGAGCCCCGAGCGTGGATGAGACACCCTGAAGCAGAGGTGATGGACATCCCTGGCTCCTGGGCACAACCTAGCACCTCAGTGGGCCAAAAGCACCAGGTGCTGGGCGTTAGGGCTGCTGGGGGTGTCGAGGAGAAAAGCAGCATCCAGGGCAGCATCAGCAAGTCACACGGGGAGCGCGGGGTGATGGGGAGCAGGGGGAACAGGGCTTGCTGCAAGCGGAATGGGGCTGGCAGTGGAGGGCACTGACCGATGCTGGTGAGCGGACCCTTCCCGACCAGCGCCATGGGGAGGGCGGGAGGCGAGGGCAGCTCCTGCTGGTCATCCGACTCGGGGAGCCCGCTGCTGACGGCATGCGAATGGCGCCGCTCCTTGGCCTCCTCCTGGGAGTGGAGCTGGTACCTGGGGAGCAGAGCAGAGACAGGCATGGTGAGGTGGACCGGCACCG